CTTGGGTTATCTGATTAGATCAGTGGTTCTCAAACTTTTTAATGCCGCGACCCCAACCGGTCGTAAGTCGAGGACTATCCAACTGGTCATAAGTCGAGGACTTTCCTTGCCCGGGAGTGCCTCGCATGCGTGATGCCGCCCCCTGTGCCGGCCGAGGCCCCGCTAGCCTTACCTTGGCTACCGCCCATTTGGGGCAGCGGCAGGCAAGCCCAGGTGTTCCTGGGCGGCCGCAGCGACGGCGCAGGGCGACCACCAGTTGGGCCACCAGCTGGCCCAGCCCAGGCAGGTAAGACACCCACCAGGCCCCAAGCGCTCCAGAAACCCTCCCTGCACCTGCCGCTAGCCTTAGCTTGGCCGCCGCCCATTTGGGGCAGCGGCAGGGAGGCCCAGGCACTCCTGGGCGGCCATGGCAAGCGGCAGTGACGGTGCAGGGTAACCACCGGCTGGGCCATCAGCTGGCCCAGCCCAGGCAGGTAAGGCACCCGCCGGGCCCCACGCGCGCCAGGAATCCTCCCTGCGCCCGCCGCTGCCCCACTAACCTTACCTTGGCCGCCACCCATTTGGGGTGGCGGCAGGCAGGCCCAGATGCTCCTGGGTGGCCACGGCAAGTGGCAGCAATGGCACAGGGCGACCACTGGCTGGGCCACCAGCTGGCCCAGCCCAGGCAGGTAAGGCACCCGCCAGGCCCTACGTGCGCCAGAAACCCTCCCTGCACTCTCCGGCCTCCCACCTCCCACCCCTGGCCCTCTTTTACTTACTTTTAGTAGTTGCTCAGCAGGAAGAGAAGCTTTCCTTGCAGCACCGTTTGCAGACTGGGGCTTTTGGCGGTCTCAGCAGGGCAGAGACAGCCTAGACAATTCCTATTGGCTTTTGAAAGCCAATAGAATTAGACTCTATTCAAGAGAGTCTATTCTATTGGCTTTCAAACGCCAATAGAATAGAGTCTCTTGAATAGAATAAGAGGGAGTAGCACAGCTAAAGAAAAGGGGGGGAAATGGGGGGGAAATGGCAGACAGCCTTGTTTGGTGACTCCCGTGAAATGGTCGTTCGACCCCAAATGGGGTCGCGACCCACAGGTTGAGAACCACTGGATTAGATTGATATGATATCTCAAGTTCAAGTAAGGGACTGGAACCTTATACTCTGCATGAGGCTGTCCTCGAGTACCACACAAAAGCTTCAGTCAAGAATTCAGCAGCACAGGCAGTGCCTTGGCATGCTCATGGAAAACTCTTACTTCATGAACTGCACTGATTACCAGTGTGCTTTAGTGTTCTATTCAAGATGGTGGTTATTACCTATAAAGCTCTACATCACATCCAGGGAGATTGAAAGACTGCCTGCCATGATTTTGCTAGGCCAGTACAAGCCAATAAAATGGTCATGCTCCAAGTCCCCTCAATAAAACAGTGTCATTTTTACCAGGGCCCAGCCTCTTCTGTTGTGGCACCTGCCCTCTGTAATGAGGTCCTCGCTGAGATCTGGTGGCCACATTGTAATGGTGTTCTGGAAAGCCTTGAAAACCTGGCTGCCCTCCCAGGTTTAGGCTAGGGGGGATGGAACCCCTTGCAGGGTTTTTCTACTATTTGTTGCATATATTTTGGTGTTGGATGTCTGGATTTACCATTTTGTTTTGTTTTTATTCTATTTTTATTTCTCCTATGGTATTTTGTTTTGCTTATAAGTTGTCCATAATTTGAAAGGAGTTTGCACCACTAAAAGTGAATCAAATAAATTATTCAAAAATATACATTCCTTGTCACCTTTTCTTTTTCTTAATCCTTTCACGGCAGCTGTTTTCCATAACAAGTATAACATTTCTTGAAATCACAAAAAAATGACAAGTCCTTTGATATCTGAAAAAGATGAGGCAAATAATTTTTTTTAAATACTAAAGGAGGTAAATATTCATACAGACAAAATCATTATTATGTGCACATAATTTCTTTTTGTTAAAGTATTTTGAAGCATGTTTTAATGTATTAATATTATGATGGAATTACTTATGATAAAAAAAGCTCTTCCCCACTTTAGAAGATAGTTATTTCAGATTGTTTAAAGCCAACTAATCTGAAATTTTTTGTTTGTCGGAGGAGCATAGATATGACAGCAATCTTTGATACAACAACTGCTGACCTCATTCAGCTGCTCTCATTCTAAACCCCTGTTCCCCACTTGACCAATCATGTCTTTGAAAGTCAATTTTCTCTTTGACTCACGTGGTGGTGCCATGAGTGAGTGAGATTGGGAGTTGACGTCTACAAGTCATAAAAGGGCCAAGTTTGAAGACCCCTGACTTAAGTCATCATTAGCTATCCCAATATAAAAGTAATATTGTCTTCCAATGCTGGCACTGTCCAAGGACAATCTTAGGGATGTAAAGTCTATTACTTTACATTACCCATTGCCCTGGAGATGTGTAATTATTGGCCTCCAGGCATTTGCCCTCTTCAATATTTTATTTTCTGAGTTCCTTCCTCTTGGCTGGCTTGGCTTTCTTCTCCAAGTTTTACTATATTGGAAGATGTGGAAAGACATTACCTTTTACCCCTTGTTTATTTATTTTCACCTGGGAAGAAAAGCAGCTGCTCATTTGTTCATTTTCCTGCATTTGTCTCTTTCAATTATTTTCTTCCTCATCTAAAGTAAGAGAGGGGTTGGCCAGCAGCAAGAAAGTTTCAGTATTCCTGTTCTATAGAGCAGGGCTTTTCAACCATTTCAGCCATTGTACCACTTTTAGGATATGGCAATATCCGAGCACCACCAGTCGCCTAGCAAAGTGTCAAAAACTTGATAACCAAAAAAAAAAAAGGAAAAAAGTAATAAAGTACAGGTAGTCCTCGACTTACAACAGTTCGCTTAGTGACTGTTTGAAGTTACAATGGCACTGAAAAAAGTGCCCCCCGAGCCACAGCTGAGCAAGACACCTGCCTGCCCACCCGGCGCTCTTCTTCCTGTCCAAGGTTTTCATTGTTGTGAGCATTTCTGTTGAGGATTTGCAGTGGGGGGTGGGGTGGGGGAGTGTTTGGTTTTTATTCCCCCCCCCCATCTGCTAGGTGGTTGCAGCAGGTTTTGGTCACTTCACATGATCCTGGGACACTGTGACCATCATAAATATGAATCAGTTGCCATGCATCTGAATGTAAATCACAAGACCCTGGAGATGCTGCAACATTCCAACTGATTGGTGCTTCTTCTGGGCTCAGCAGAAGCAACAGGATCAGCACTGAGCTCCAGCTGGAGACTGGCGTTGATCCTGGCGCTTCCACTGAGCCCTGCCAGTCCCAAAGAAGTGCCGATCAGCTGGAAAGCGGCACTGATCCGGCGCTTCCAGTGAGCCCTGACAGCTCTGCAGCTCTAGCCATCTCTTGATCAGGCTTATGCGGTGCTGCCACTGGCTCAGCTCATTCCCCTCCCCCGCTACCACTTTTCTAGGATGGGTGCGTACCACCTGCCAGGTGCCAATGTACCACAGGTGGTACCCGTACCACTGATTGAAAAGCCCTGCTATAGAGCATAAGTAGTGGCAGAATTTGTCTCCTTCCTCCAGGCTATTTCTACTCGTGTGTCTTTCCATATATTTTCAAGGTCTCAGATCCATTCAAGTGCTATTTGAAGGCTTGAGATTGGACAACTAAAGGCTCAGGTGATGAATTGGGCTACCATACTTAACGTTGGTTAAAGGTTAAAGGTAAATCTAGGCCTATTTATAGTTACTCCTTTAATACTGATGGATTAGAAATTAGAAAATTTCTAATTTTCTGTCTAGAGACAATCTGTTAATAAATGGTATAACAGTTTCAGATCTGTGCTGAATATTCATTATATTGCTTCAGTTGAAAATAGCAAAAGTTTTGAAGAATCTCTCAGTCTGGATTTTCTTTTCAACTATAGAAAATAGCATAATAGAGAAGATTTAGTTATGGTTTAAGCATTGATTGATAATTGTATCACGCTACACAAATTTGTAGTTTTCAGTTTTTTTAAAAAAAACTTTTAGTAACATTTACACTGGAAATGGAAAACCTTTGCCTGAAATCCTAGATATGTTGACAATGTTGACAACCATATTACATTATGGATGCCCTCAAAGTGGATTTTTGAGCGAGAAATTCAGAGATGGTTTTGCTTCTTTTGTGTCAGTGTAGTGTATTCAATAAAAGTATTACTTTTAGGAAAAACAATGTCCCAGGAGTTCCTTTCTTGGATTCGCTAGCTGGACATCTGACAATATGACTGATTATAGGCTTTAAGGAAGATTAATTATCACCAAGGCAGTCAAAACAATATTAAGAACAAATCCCCAAAGCCTTGCCTGGGGACAAGCCATGTCCAAACTTCATGTCTGCATGACCTCACCTGTATCTCATGGTCCTCTGGCAATTGAAATGCCTAAGGATAGCCCATGGGACTCCATTCTTGAAATGGGGTTTCAGTCTTATCCCACCTCAGGACACTGTGCAGATACTTATACCTCCATTTTGCAACCCATCCAAAAAAAGTGAGACACATCCCCCTGGTTTCCCATTGCTTCTTCCATCATTTTCTTATACAGAATATCCGTCAAAGAGGTCAAGATGAAATTACAGCAAAAAAAATAATAATTCTAAAATGGTATGCATTGACATTTTGGGGGGGATTGATAATACTGGGAATCATATTCCCATGATTATTTTTCTTCACAAGTAGCCTGAAAATTTGCATGAGGTCTGTTCACCGCAAAAAGTTATACGAGGAGGGGAAAGTTGTTTAATACTATTTACTCAAAACTATTTTAAAAAGCTTCTGACATTTCTACATTGAGAAAATTGCAGCAACGTATTACCTGAAACTGAGCACTGATATATTTTTGCTTGACACTTGAGACCTTTAATTTCAGCTAAGACAGAATGAAGTTACAGGATGAATCTTATTCTATATTTAGGAAGAACAACTGCAAGCTATGACAGGAATTCTCTATTACACTTGGCTTCTGAACATTGCTCTATTCCAGTCCCAGAGGTCCTTTCCCTTGAGAGTATCCACTGCACAAAGAACTTCATCTATTTCACATGAAAGATCTCAGCTGACCTAAGGTGCCTCAGTCAGCAGCAAAAAGAGGTGTAGCATTCACTCTTCTGACGGGCTGGAACTTTTCTGATATAAATAATCAGGTACTGTACTTAATGGGAGTTGAGGAGGGAGGGGGACAGCTTTAAAAAAAAATAAAAGGTTGACTTAGGAAATACATTTATAGCTAGGGAACAAGGATAAGGGCTATTTTGCTGTGAGTGTGGTTCTCTTTATATCAGGTCATTAATGTTTTTCATTAAGTATTACTGCAACTACTGGATATACAGGCAAGAGTTTTTAAATTAAAGAATGTTGTTCTGAGATTTTGCAGTTTCATAAATGTATGTGCTCTTGTATGATTTTCGTAAAAGCCTACTGGGCACAGTTGGTGACAGCTAACCAAACGCATGTTTATTTTTCTCCCTATGGCTTTCTGGACAGCCATGTACAAGTAAGCAAAATTATAATACCAATGTTTGAACCCAGAAATATTAATTTTTCACTGTTAAAATGCTTATCATTAACTCTGGAGTCACAATGACCTTTCATGAAATAAATTGCACTGTGAGCAATAGTTTCGATATAGAATTGTATTCCCCCCTCCTTGCTACTCAGCATAATTTCTATCTAGGTCTTAAAGAAAAAATAATACAGTTCCATTTCATAATATCCATGCCAGTTTTATACATTACAGAAGGGGGAGGTCAGCATGAGAATGATGTCATTTCCAGCTTCTTTTCAATTGCATCTGAGTTGCAGGAGTAGAAAAGATGGATATTAGAGAAGCATCTTGTGCAGGCCTCCACTTCGTCCAAGCAAACTCAAGTAGCTTGGTGCTGAATGACTGCATGTCCTTCAGCACTCTCCGCAGGACTTATTTTTAGACAAGGCAGAGCAGATAAGAGCTTCCCCCCCCCCCCCATTTATTTCTTCCTGTGCCTCATGCTGGATCACAAATCCTAGGGACCTGTGCATGTAAAGTTCAATACTTAACTAAATTACTCCAGTGCACTGCTTTTGGGGGGGTCATAAAGGGTAAGTCATGAGATCAATGTCTGTATGCCTGATAGGACTGGCTTTTTCAGTCATTTAGTTACATTCTGTTTACAATGTAAATGATTTGTTCAGCTTGTTTAAATTTAAAATTATTCAATTACTCATTATCAGACTGCACTATGACCTATGGATTTTCTCAGCCTGGTTTTATGTCTAAAAAGATGTAAGAAAAACACTGAACATTATCCTCCTAATTGTCAATTGTGCCCCAGAGTTCTTCAACAGATGGGGGCAACCCAGTAACTCCAAACAGTCTCAGCTGTCTTTTGGAAGACCCAGAGCTCCCAAAAATTATATCATCAATAATAACAGCTTGGCAATTTCCTACTGATTTCAGTGGGAAAGGATGGAAAATATATAATACACATGTATCTAACGAATGCACATATATGTCAAATTGGCTTAATATACCTATATAAAACTCATCTGCACTCCAAAACCATGTGAAAAGAGGACAAAACATCTTACTCTACATAACACAAAGAGCTTGCAACTATCAGCAACTGAAAAAATTGCTGTTCACACCTGGTTGCAAGTGTGGAAGGGAATGAGTATAGCATCTAGAATCACATTGTTTCAGGTAGTGTGTATGTACTGTGTATGTACACAGAAGAAGCTCCATTGAATTCAGGATAAATGCAGGTAGTAGTATTAGGAAAGAAAAAAGAATTTGTTCCATAAATATAATGGCTGGAGCTACCGAATGTAGTCCAAAACTTATTTAAGGCAACAAGGTGGGATTCTGAACTCACTTTCTTACATTAATTTGATGGCTTAAAAAAGATGTGTATAGAGCAAGGCTGAACTAAAATTTCCAGCATCCCTTTATCACTGACCATACCGGGAGGACGGCTGGGACTTAAAGGCCAAAGCAACTCGTGAACTTCTAATTGGGAATTTGTTTTGAGGGATAAACAGTATAAAGAGTCCATCTTAAATTTCCTGTCTAGTACACCCCTTATATAATTGTGTTGATCAGGCTGCTAATACCTGTAGTTTGTCAATCTTAAAAGGAGCACAAATTCTTCATCCCTAGTGCAAAAGATTTGGTACTTCAGAAATAGTTCATTTTCTTCCCCAACATTGCACTGCTTGTGCGATATTAACATATATGGTGAGATTTCAAGAGCGCTTTGGGTGGAAGGGGAAATATCTCTATGAAAATATGAAAGTACCATCTGTTTCTATTAACTATTAGCCTCTTTCCTGTTCATGCAGTCAAACATAGGGACATAATTCCGTTAATATCTCTATTGCCAAATATAATTAAGCAATTGATGCACTCAAGTAAAAGAGAGGATGGGGATTGCAGTCCAAGAAGATAGTCTATTTTTACTCATCAACATTCTGTTGTCCTGATTTCTCAAGCAGTAATGAGGTCAGTTAAAACTGGCATGGAAGAAAGATTGCCTCTGCTTAAAGTAATCTATACAGTTGTATTACTGAGGAATTTCCATTTTGATTATATTTTATTCTTATCATTTATTTTTAGTCTCAGTTTAAGGTTACATATAGATTTAGAACCTGGCTTCTGGGAAACGGTACATATTCAAGCCATGCCATACAGGTAGTCCTCAACTTATGATCACAATTGTGCTCAAAATTTATGTTGCTAAATGGAAAATTTGTTAAGTGAATTTTGCCCCATTTTATGACTTTTCTTGCCACATTTGTTAAGTGAATCACTGCAGTTGTTAAATTAGTAACACGGTTGTTAAGTGAATCTGGTTTCCCTGTTGACTTTGCTTGTCAGAAGGTTGCAAAAGTTGATCACATGATCCCAGGATACTGCAATTGCCATAAATGTGAGTTGTCAAGTATTCAAATATAAATCACATGACCATGGGGATGATGTAATGGTCATAAGTATGAAAAATGTTCATAAGTCACTTTTTTCAGTGCTGTTGTAACTTTGAATGGTCACTAAATAAACTGTTGTAAGTTGAGGACTACCTGTACTTCAATAGGTACAGTAAGATGGGAAGCTGAATTGAGCATACAGAATGCCACTGCTCTCGCTATTTCTAATGGTCTCTATTCTCTGAATTCCCTTCTTATCAGACCTCTGAGTAGTTTGTTTATCCTCTTTAAGTTACAGTCTACTGAAAGACATGTTCATCAAGAAAACTGGTTCCGTACAGATATATAAGGGTTTTGCAATTCTCTTTTGTAAATTGAAATAAATAGTAAATAAATAATGTAGATAGTTATTAACTTGTGCTTTTGATGGAACATGTGCCCCTTTCCTATTGTGTTGTGAAAGTGATATTTCTCATTGGATGTATTAAAAATTCAATGAGGAATTTCAGATGTTCTAAGTTCCTTGCAGTATTCTGTAGGTGTATCTTAGTAACTCTGAAACTTGAGTCTGAAAGATAATCTGAGCTGATGAATACATAGTTACCAGGAAGCACCATGGTTAAATTATAGATAATAAAACTTTGCTTATAGAATGCCATTACAGCCCATACAGTTTTTGCTATCATTTTTTGTTTCTTTAATTGATTTTGGTTTTTTTGCAGTGAAAACTCTATTGCTTAAGTATGTCAAATCAACGAGCTTCAAATGTCAGAAGCATTCAGGTAAGGTATTTTGTGTGACTGCTTATAAGTAACTACTTAAAATGGAGGAGATATGGAATGATGCTTGGGTTGAAGCTTTAATTCTAGTTAGGAATTATTCTCAATTTGCTAGACATGCAGCTAAATTAATTTGATGAAACAATTTGTTGCATGTCTTACATATTTTTATTAGCCTAAAAAAATAATCACAATGTGCTTTTTTTCCAATATGCTTTGTTCTGTGTTAAACCAATTCAGTGTGTTATCTAAAGTTTTAAGTAGCACTGTCATACACATGCATGCAGTACGTACTTGTGCTGTTTATTTTTCTTTATTCGCCTTGAAAATTAACTTGTCATTTTTAGCATTCTTTTAGCTGATAACTGGAAATAAATCTCTCAATTAAATGTCTATGGAGATTCTCAGCCATCCAGGCCATGATTATCCCAAAGGTGCTTTTTCAAGAGGCAACTGGACTTTCTTGTTTTTCTCTGAAGGTGTTTCACTTCTTTGCTGAAGAAGCTTCTTGGATGAGAAGCAAAACATCTTCAAAGAAAAGCAAGAAAGTCCAGTTGCCGCTTGAAAAAGCTTGTTTGGGACTCTTGGTTAAATACTTGTTATTGTTGTTTCTTGGCAGAAAAATGCTGGCTATTTCATTAAACAGGATATTCCATTTTGCCAGTTGACTAAAGTGGGAGCCTTGACCCTCCAGATAGTATTCAGCTAAAAAACCAAATAGCTTGCTTGTTAGTCATCCTTAGGTAAGGTTGAAGGGTATTTCTGTGAACAAAGGAATAAATATTATTGAAATTAGACATTTTTATTTCCTAGCAGGCCATGTCAGATACCTCTAATTGATTAATAAGTCATCCAGAAAAGTTAGGCCCAGATGAGCTCATCTTAGATGAGGGAATAGATGGGGAACTCATCAAATTTGCAGATGACACCAAACTGACAGGAGTAGCCAACACCCCAGAAGACAAGCTCAGGATCCAGAAAGATCTTGACAGACTTGAACAATGGACCCTATCCAACAAAATGAAATATAATGTGGAGTAAAGCAAGGTTTTACACCTGGGCAGGAAAAACCAAAGATATAAGTACAGATTAGGCGAAACCTGGCTCCAAAACAGTAACTGTGAGAGGGACCTTGGAATCCTAGTGGACAAACATCAGTCATCAGTATCATCTTTACAAAGGAGCAGAGATAAGGCAGATAGCCCCTGACACATTCCTCCCCCTTTTCACACCCAAAGAGATGCATCAAAGATGGAGAGAACAAAGTAAAGGAAATACATCTGTGATTCCCCCTCCCAGCAGAGTGAAACCTCCCCCTCCTATCAGAATGACAGAGCCCCGAAAATATGGATTGGAGAGCACCTGACAGCTCCATTTTACAGTATTGTGGTCAAGCTGGTAATATGATAGTAGATAGTTATCAGCAATTGGAAGACAAATTTTACACCAGCATAGTTATCTGTTAGCTTGGGTATGGGTGATTCCTGTTTAAAATGAGCATAAGGAAGAACCCTTTATTTCTAAATCAATCCCATGATTAACCATGCCTGTATTCTCTGAACCACAGCAAGTAATTTTAGAAGTGTTTTGATAGGTGTGAAATACAAATTCAATGTATTGGTTAAATGCAGTGCTTAAAGGTTCAAGGCTAGTCAATACATTCTATGTATCATGTTTTCCTGAAAATAAGACCTGGTCTTATATATTTTTTGCCTCCAAAAGAGGCACCAGGTCTTATTTTTGGGAGATGTCATACCCGCTTACCTTAAGACTGCTGCAGCCAGACCTCCTATGCCCCGACACCTGTCACACCACTGCCGGAGTTCTGTGGCCACTTGCAGCCTCTCTCAACCAAATGCCATGTGGTTCATTGTGTTGGTGCCGCTGCTCGTGGTAATATGCCATATGGTGCTTCACGCCAGTGCTGCTGTTCATGGCAGGAGGTTGTGTGGCTTGTCGCCCTGGTGCCACCACTCACAGCAGGAGGCCACGTGGCTTATCGCATTGGTGCCACCACTCGTGGCAGGAGGCCACGCAGCATATCGTGAGCAGCAGCACCTGTGTGACGAGCCGAGCAGCCTCCTTCCATGAGCAGCAGCACTGGCATAAAGCACCACCTGGCATTCTGCAGTGGGCAGCAGCACTGGTGTGACAAGCCACATGACCTCCTGCCGCAAGTGGTGGCACCGGCATGAAGTGCCACTTGGCGTCCTGGTGCAAGTGGCAGTACTGGCATGAAGTGCCACCTGGCATCCTGCTATGAGCGGCGGTACCAGCGCAATGTACCATGTGGCATCTGGCAATAGGCAGCCGCAGAAGAACTTGCGCAGTGGTGTGGCAGGTTTTTGGGCCATGGGAGGCCTGGTTGCAGCAGTCCTAAGGTAAATGGGTATGGGGCATATGGGACAGCTCAACCCCCCACTCTCACCCTAGCTTGATTTTTATGTGTGCCGCTCTCCCCCAAACTAGGGCTTATTTTGGGGGGTAAGGCTTATATTAGGCGCACACGTAAAAATCAAGCTAGGGCTTATTTTCAAGCTAGGTTTTATTTTCGGGGAAATACAGTAGGTGCTTTGTAAGAATATTTTAGGAGGTGAAGGCTGTTAATTGGCTGCTGAACCTTACTTTGTATGGTTCAATATACAAACTTTACTTTGTACGAATATGGAAGTTAATACAATTTCTTTTGGCTACTGTATCTGGGAAGCAAAGATCTGAATGACTATTAATGGTTGTCTGGATTTCTGCAGCCTCAATATTGTAGTCCTTTATTCAATTTTGACTGAAACTAAAACTCTTTGCAGGAGTTTAAGAAGCCATATTAACTCCACAAGTAGAAAGTAAAAATTATCTACTCTTGAAGAACAGCAATAGCACTTAGACTTATATACCACTCCATAGTGCTTTGCAACACTCTCTAAGTGGTCTACAGAGTTAGCCTATTGCCTCCAACAATCTGGGTCCTCATTTTACCTACCTTGGAAGGATGGAAGGCTCAGTCAACCTTGAGCCAGTCAGGATCTAACTTCTGGCTATGGGCACAGTTAGCCTGCAATGCTGCATTCTAACCATTGCAATGCTACAGCTGTTTCATATGACAGAGGGACCTGATTTTACAATGACTGTAACCTCAGATAAAAAAGTTGTCCTTTATAGGGAAATGTGAAGAATATAGGGTTTAAATACAAATCACTGTTTCCCTTAAACATGAATATACTAGCACCAGATTATATTTAGCACTAATCTGGTTCCATATAAACAAGGCTCAGGACACTGCCACTGATATGGAAGCTTAAGTTGGGATTTTGCTGTCTAAATTAATCTTATTTTACATCTGTCTAGATTTAAAATAATAAGGCAATTAATAAAAGAGATGAGAAACAAAATATAATTTGCCTGGACAATCAAGAAAACTCCATCTCTTAATTTTTGTAGATCTACTACAATATAACTTCATGCACTGATATGTTCTCCAATTTCCAGGCAAATATCAACATCCCAATGGGAGCACTTTTGCCTGGTGCTGGCCAACCTCCTAAAAGAAAAGAATCTACTGAACCCGAAGAGGTAAGAATAGTATGTGCTTATCTGACTAAACACCACACATTAAATAAGTCTTCTGTTCACCAGTGATATTTCATTCTGTAATATCTCAGGAAAACATTCATTTCATCCATATCACTAGAAAACATAAGTAAACAGTAAGTATAAACATAATCTTCCCACTCTAATATCATTAGCTAATATATGTAAAGGACAGTGTATTTTAGAGTGGTAATATATGGAAGCAATATAAGATCAGCATTAAAATGTTGGTGCCTTGTTTCTGAAGTATTTCCCTGCACATCCTTTCTGTCATATTTTAACTAGAGTATGACATATATTGCATTTTCTGAAGCTATATAAAGATCTTGAGCTATCACTATCTTTCCCTTAGGGCCAATTTTTTTTTTTACATTTTGTGGTATAATAATTGTATTTTAAAAGCAACTATAGAGAGTCCCAGTATGGATCAGAGTGATATTGCTTTGGGCGACACATTTAATAATTTTTTCTTCCACCTCACCTCTCTTCCATGCCTTACCTCCAAGCAGGATCTTCCTGTGTACATTTAAATATGTAGATAACAGTATCTGGAAGGGGGAAGTGCATTGGTTTTATTTTATGTATCAGAGAAATTAAAGACTACATCTGGTACCCAAAGCATTTCTATTCGGTAAAAGTACTAAAATTAAAAGCAGGATGAATGTAGGCAGCAAAGACAGTAATTTACATTCCTGTGGCGCTCTTGTATTTAAGCTCTTGTCCAATAACCATAGCTTATAAGGATCTGCATAGAGATGAATGAAGGGCTGCCACAAGATGATTACTCAATTTTCCTCCAAATCTAACAGAAAAAAGAGCCTGGCCATCAGAGGAATGTGGCTCCACCCACCCCTTGCCCAGTATAGAAAAGCAGCTGTTTCTTCTGACAGTCCTCAATAAGATCGCATTTTTCACCTAAGAATTTTTGTGGATTTATTTGCAAGAATGTTTGAAGGCTTTGCTTATTTGATTAAATGTTGGGTCTGCTGGCTTCTTGAAAATGCTGGGTTATGTGGCACAAACTTCTCATTGTCTGGGTTCTCACTGTCTTCTAATGTCCAGCCTTGACTAAACAAATGTTTCCCAACCTGGTGTTCTCCAGATGTGTTGAGATTATGATTCCAGAATTCTAAGTAACCAAGGTCAAATTCTGGCAATTGTGGTCCCAGCACATGAGGACAATGCCGAGTTGTGGTAGGTTTATATAAACAACAGAGACAGTATAAAGGTAGTAAGAAAAAATTAAAACTACAGGAAATGTAATCATATCTTAAATATATCTTTGTATATTTCTTTAGAGATTTTGAGGGGCTGCATTATGTTCTTCACCTGTTAGGATAGGGATGGGCAACTATGGCAACTTTACGACCTGTGGACTTCAACCAGGAATTCTGGGAGTTGAATTCCACAGATCGTAAAGTTGGCCATAGTTACCCACCTCTGACTTAGGCCCTCCTTGCAACTTTAAATTAAAATCTGGACTAAGCATTACCATAATTTAGCATTTTCACAATACAGAATCTATTCCTTAAATAGGGCTTGCCCTATCATGAGGTAACATGGCCCTATGAGGAACCCTCCCCCCCATCTTTATTAGCAACAACATCTCCCCGTCTTGGAATTCTCTATGTTTTGAAATGTTATAATTTTGTTTTATAATTTTAATAATTCTTAATCTTAAATTATTTTGTTTTAATGCTTAATTTTATTATTAAATTTGACACTGTCCAGAGCCCCTTTCTGAAGGAGAAAGGCAGTGAAGAAACAATTAGTCTAATACAGTAATCGAGAAACTTAATTATATATATGATCTATCTCTATCATCTATCATCTGTCTATCCATGTCTATGTCTATGTCTGTCTGTCTATCTATCTGTCTATCTATCTATCTATCTATCTATCTATCTATCTATCTATCTATCTATCTATCCAGTTTATATATGTGTGTGTATGTGTGTATAACAATCGTGTATACATATTGCAATTTGATCGTGATTCATTCATTCATTCAAATTGTATTGGTTACTCTTTTCAGTATTCAATCCACCACCCATTCATTCTTTACCTTGTCTCTTTTTGTTTTACCACACAGACTTATAGGGCAGAGGTCACCAACCTTTCTCGGTTGGCGGACCGGAGGGAAATGGAGGGGGAAGCATTTTACATGCACGTGTGTGTGGGGGGGGGCACAGGGCCGCAAGCATGTGCACAACATAAATGGGTTGGGGCGAGCACTCGCATGATACTCGCTAGCCTTGTCCTTTCTTGTGTGGCTTACTGCCCCGTTTCCACACCCCAAAGTGCAGTGGCACCCATTTTTCCACTCCACAGTGTGGCGGCAGCCTGTTTTCATGTCCCACAGCACTATGACGTCCCATTTTTGCACCCCAAGGTGAGGCGGTGGCCCGTTTTCATGCTCTGAAGTGCAGCACCATCCAGTTTTCATGCCCCACAGCATGGCAGCATCCCGATTTGCACCCCAAGGTACAGTGGCGGCCCGTTTTCATGCGCTGCAGTGCAGTATCCTGTTTTTGCACCCCATGGCCATAGCACTAACGCAAGTGGGGGTGCGTGTATGCACATGTGCGTGCACTGGCCAGCCTGTCCCACGGCCCAGTGGCCAGAAGGCCATGGCCCACTACCAGGCTGTGGCCCACAACTTGGGGAGCCTTGGTTTAGAATATTTGTAGATAAATATTATAAGGAATGCCCATGGTGAGGTTATAAATGAACTGGTTGGAGAAATAAGAATAGTTTTTTTGAGGCTGCACTGTGGGCTGAGAATATGAATGATTTGTAGCTAAAGATAGCAGACTGTATAACACAGTGAGGATCTAAAATCTTGTCCCACTAGGACAAGCCCATCCTACTTGTGCCAGCAGAGAAGACTTACTTTGGGTCCCATCAGTGAAAGAACTCCAACTATCGGGATCCAGAAGAGCCATCTCTGCTGCAGTGCCAGCCCTTTAGAACATCTTACCTTCTAAGGTGAGATCTGCCCCATCCTCTTATCCTTCTGCAAGAGCCTGAAGACTTGGCTCTGCTAGTTGGCCTGGGGACCACCTCCCCACCCCTTATAATCTGTTTTCTACCATCTTTTTGGCTATCATATTGATGTATTCTTGTTGTGTTCTTTTTCATTGTTTATTTTATTGCTCTATTATTTTACTTCTACTTCTATTGTGTTTACACTTCTTTCATTTTTTTTCCTTTTCATTATTGTAAGCCTCCTAGAGTAGGCCCCCTAAATAAATTTAACAAACAAATGAACAAATAAATATTGGTGTATCCAGGAACAAAGTAATTGGGTTTCAGAAAGTTGAGAGAGCAATTGGAAGTTACATGAAAATTGCAAAAAACAGAGTAGGTATATGAATTTTTAGAATATTTAAAACAGGGATCCCCAATCTGTGGGCCATGACCCGGCATTGGTGCCACGGCTGTGGGGTGCGAAAACAGATGCTGCACTGTGGGGCATGAAAACATGCCACCACGGCGACTCGGGGTGCAGAAACAGGACACCACCACGCTTCAGGACATGAAAACGGGCGACTGCCACACGGGGCACAAAAGCAGGATGCCGCTGCACTGTGAGGATGTGAAAATGGGCTGCTGCCACACCTTGGGGCATGAAAACAGGATGCTGTCATGCTATGGGGTGCAGAAACAGGATGCCGCCGCACCTCAGGGTGCAAAAATGGGATGCTGCTGTACCGTGGGGCATGAAAACGGGATGCTGCCATGCTACAGGGTGCAAAAACAGGCACGGGGAAATGGGGCACAAAAACAGGGCAGACTAGTGAGTATCATACGGGTGCTAGCTCCATCCCATTTGCATCATGCGTGTGCTCGTGGCCCCGTACACACGCCCGTGTAAAATGCTTCCCACTTCCTTTCCTTCCAGTCCATCAACCGAGAAAGATTGGTGACCTCTGTTCTAAACAACCAAGAGGACACAGACAGTTCTTTTACTCTCTGACAATCATTTACTAAGCATCCTATTTATTCTCATGCACATTTTATCTCTATCAAATATTGCTTTTACCATATTCAACAGCCAACCTAAATCTTCATAGTTGTGCAAAAAATCCATAATTCAAGCTTATTTACTTCTCAAGCCTATTTTCACTAAATCAACAATCATAGATAAACATTCTCAGATTCACAAAGTTCCCATTTAAAACATTTACATGGACAATCTTGCTATATTTCAACATAAATGTATGACTTCGTTTTCATTTATTTTTTTAGACACTAACTGTATAATAATAAGACACTAACTGTATAATAATAAGACTGGACAGCCATTTGTCCGAAATGGTGTAGGGTTTCCTGCCTGAGCAGGGGGTTGGACTAGATGACCTCCAAGGTCCCTTCCAACTTTACTACTATTACTATATTACTATAATGGATTCAGTTTCAATATCATTCTGACTTACTATTGTCCTCTTTAACTATTCCTTAGTTATATGTGTACAGAGGAATACATTTACCCTTAAATTGTATATTAGAAACTATTATTAAGCAGATACCAACAGACAGCATTTTTAGTCTTTCTTATATCTCTATTGGCCCAATAACATTTCATATTCCCACTCATTCTTTCATGTTTCTGGATAGCATTAATTCGATATGTTACATATTTTTTCTTAAAACTCATTTCTAATTTCCCCATTATCTCCATTCATAGGAGTATAATATGCAGTTATCCCAAGTTACAGATTTCTACTTTCATATACATCCACAACAATTTAGATAAAAGAGGAGATGGAGTTGCACTATATATAAGAAATAACTACATCTCTACAAAATAGAGCACAACAATGCTGAAAACTATCTTGAATGCATTTGGGTCAATATAAAAGGGGGGTAAATGACATTGCCATAGATGTATACTATAGGCCACCCAACCAAACAGAGGAAATAGATGGACTTTTTGCGAGTCAGTTAATTAAGGTATGTAGGAAGCATATTACAATAGT